CATCGTTTGCTTAGTATGGTATGCAAGGAACTATACTCCCACTGAGTTCATGTTCCACTATATCATTTCATTTTACAAGCACTCATAAGACCTTTAAAGGCCACATAAACCCAACACTTATGACTTCAATAATAGTATATTTTTCTAATTCTAAGTTGTTTCAAAATTCAATCATCATTCAATAAGTGAAAATAATATTTTTAAATTTCAAATTTACAAAATTACCTACAAAATGGAAAATAAATGTAGAATTATCACATGGTCCAGATTTTCTCAATTTTACACCTAGGTCTTACTTCTTTTTTTTTCTTTTGTGTGTCCTCTAGAGGTAAATGATACCCCAAACATAGAACCGCCTCATATCTAAGGTGATTCAACACCTCATAACCGTTTTACATATCAAGCTTTACATATCATGCTAGCCCAAAGGAAAGTATTGTTCGGCCCCCCTCCCCCAATTTTAAAATCTATTTTGAGATCCTTTCAACTGATCTCCTTAAAGTCATACTAAAATTTTCCTAAAGCTATCAATGTATCCGCTCGTTACTCCCTCTTGTCTTTTCTGACTTTTTTTTTATAGAAAATTTGACATCAATAATTTTTCTTCTACCCATAAAGGCATCCTTCTCCCATACATTTTCTTTACCACAGGTGGTATCAAAGAAATTGTTGAAGTCAAATTTCATCCAGAGAATGTAAAGAAAATGTTGAAGTCAAATTTCATCCAGAGAATATGAGAAAAGAGGGGAGAGAAGGGACGAGGGGTACATCCAAAAAAAAGAGGGGAGAGAAGGGACGAGGGGTATATCCAAAAAAAAGAGGGGAGAGAAGGGACGAGGGATATATCCACAGTTTTGGGGGAATTTAATACTGTTTGAAAGAGAAAGGTTAGGGGGTACTATTGTAAAAAAAAATTGCAGACTGGGTCTCGATGATACTTTCCCTTGAAAGAAAAAAAGTGTCAATATAGGAGGTAGTTTGATGACAATGACATCAAATTGCCTCATACTTGGCCAGGTCCCATAGATGGTGTTCTTTGATTTATGGCTGTATGATACCACGCCAGTGGTCATAAAGTAAAACTTTTCTAGTCATTGTTCCACCCCAGAGGTCATAAAGTCAATTTCTAGGCATGTTGCCAATATTAATCAATGGGCAAACCTAGAATTGCAAAAATAAGGGAAAATTATGGATACCCATCTATACCCAACTTTTTAGGCATTGTTTCCCCAATATATATAAAAAAAAAAAATAAAGAAAAAGAAAAAAAAACTACTTTTTAAACCACATCACTAACCACATATTTTTTTTTTCTATCTATTCCCATATAAAATTGTTATTTTTTATGACAAAAATACCCCTCCTCTAAAGTCATGTTTCTCTTGGTTTTATACCAAGAAGCTTGTCCGCTACACTTTGTGCCGGGCCGGCTTTGGGTCTTTATTGAAGCCGATTTGATACACCGGCTTCTTGTTTGTATTGAAGCTAGTGCTATACGTATTGTACAGACTGGCTTCATTTTAAACAATGAAGCCGGTCTAGGACAATCTATGTTAGACAGGCACTCGGTCCCTATTGAAACTGGTCCAACACAATTGGCTCTTAGTCCCTAGAGAGAGTAGGTTCAAAAAATCGGGGTTTAAAATGGGGACGAATTTTTATCATAATTGATTTTTTTTCAACTCATGGGGATCGATGGAAACAAAAAGAACAGTTTTTTAGTTACTAATGTGGCATAAAAATTATTGGGGTGGGCGGCGCCAAGGCGAGGGGAAATCTATAATTTTCCCAAAAACAAAAAATAAGACTTAGATGTAAAATTTGGAAAATATGAAGTGTGAGCCAACTCCGCATTTATTTTTCATATCATAAATTTTTTGAAATTAAGTTTTGGATAAATTTTAAAAGGACAAAAATACCCTTTTCATGAAAGAGAGTGAGAAAGAGTAGTACCCATGAAAGAGAGTGAGAAAGAGTAGCTTCTAAGGATGACTAATTTTGGAGTGCGCATACCAACTGTCCGTTCTAGATTTCATATCATACAAGGAGGCCACCCACGGTCTAGAAATGCTTATTGTCCTGATACTGTAATCGAAGAAAAAGGAAAAAGAGGACTTGAAGTGAAAATATGATTTGTTTGTAATGGACAAACTTTGCTCCCATGGGAGCACAGTTTGCTTCTACTTTTTTGGTCAGATGGCCTACTTGGGAGGTTTTTTTTCAATCTCAAACTTTGGTAACCACCTTTGAATCACTAGATGATTGTTCTAAAAAAATAAAAAATAAAAAAAAATAAAAAAAATTGGAATTTGAGTTTTCCAATACTTTGTTCTTATCTCCTAAAAATTGGATGTTCCTATTCAATACAGGGATATTATTATTTTTAATTGCTTAGAGTGCAATTAGGAATCTCTTTTTATTGAAGTTAATGTTTAAAAGGTTATATCCCGAAAATGCGGGGGTCCCAAGGTTGAGAGAGTAAACAGACAATATACTACCGAGGGAGTAAAATATTTATTGGCTTCTTTGGAACAATGCAAGATTCTAAGAAATAGAAATGTAGATAGTGCCCATGCATGTAAAACCAAAGAGGGGGTCATGGGGGTAGGGGCCAATGTGATGTGTTTCGAGCTCGCAAATCAAATCGGAAAACTATTTCAAATCAAATAATTGACGTGATGCTGCCCACTTGGGAAGCATGGAAGCTTCGCTTCAAACTTTCATACATGGCGTCCACCTTACTTTAGTTTTGCATGAATTAAATTCCTTGGCGTTGAGTAAGAGAGAGGAAAGAAAGAGAGGGACGTCCGTGTGTATTTCCTGTAGGGGAGAACGGAGGCACGAGATGCCCATTTCATCTCTTCATTTATGTCAGAGGGAGAGAGAGAGAGAGCAGAGAGAATTTAGGGCATGGGGAAATTTACAAACGGATCGGGTATTTCTACCGTTACAACAGAAAGACCCAAAAGTAAGTTGTTATTACATGGAAGGACGAATTCTCTATTTTTTTTTTTTCAAATCTGCCAACATCAAACCGCTGATTAGTCCGGATATTTTTGTTAAGTTTGTAAAATATGAGGAAAAGGGAGGCGTTAGATAAGGGAGTACTATTTTTGACAAGTTTGTAAAATATTAGGGAGGGGAAGACGTTTGATAGAGAGAGGGGAGAGGGATGGGATGGGATGGGATATGAGGGAGGGGGAAAGTTAGATAGAGAGAGGGAGAGATGGAGGATAGCCGCGGTGGATGGGATGAGATGGGATAGGAGGGGTGATTTTAAGAGGGTGGAAGGAAATATTCCACACAAAAGCCGAGAGAAAAGGTCGCCTAAGGATGAATGGACACAGAAATTGTGCCAACATTTTCTGATTCCATCCAAGCCCAAGCCCAAGCCCATCTACCGCGGTCCTTCCTCCCTCTTTCCCTCTCAGTATCTAATGCCTCCCCTTACCTCATATTTTGCAAAAGATCTCATCCCATCCCCCACCCTTTTTCTAACTATGCTTCCCCCACCCTCGTAATTTGCAAAAGAACCCATCCTATCCGCCGCGGCGGCCTTCCTCCCACTCTCCGCATCTATATCTAACACCTCCGTTCCTTCATAGTTTGCAAACTTCGTAAAAATATATGTATTAACGAGTGGTCCGATGTTGCAAACATCAAATCGATAGCACATTTCAAACAAAAAAAATAAAAATGAGAGATCTGTCTTTCCAAGTAATAATGGTCTATTTTTAGGTCATAATATTATGATCCTAAAAATACTCGGTCCGCACCTAAATTTCCCTTTAGGGGTTTTTATACATAAAATCATGTGTTTTATGGTTCATTATAAGAGAGAGTGTCAAACACATGCGAGATTTAAGAAACGGGCTCGAGTCACGGTGGCACATGCTAGGTTTTCATAACCTAATATCTCAAGTTGCATTCCTATGTAATCTTGTAAAAACAAATAGCGATAGCATAAAGAGTAATTTATGTATGGACACTTAAATAAGCAAGAAAATACGGAAAGAGACAATTTTTTTTTGTTTTGACAATTACGTTGAAATTTGGTCCCCCATAATTTTTTATTTTTTTCTAGTTTTTATTTTTTTTCTTTTTTCAAACATTGACACCGGTTTGAAATCTAAGACCTTGGATTGCTTCATATGTGGCCTTAGGCCATCATGACAATGGTCTGAGGTCCAAACCTCAGATCACTGACATTGGTTTGAGACTAAGACCTCAGAATGCTTTGTTTTAAGCCTTAGGCTGCACTTATGTTGGTTCGAGGTCCAAACCTTGGATCATTGACATCGGTTTGAGGCCAAGACCTCATAATGCTTTGTTTGTGGCCTTAGGCCCACTCTGTCTGTGGCTTTAGGCCATATTGATGCAACCCTATATTCGAAACAAAGGTAAAACATAAAATAAAAACCAGTTCGGAACGAGGGCAAATTGAGGAAAAATAAAAAAACATATGAGAGAACTGACCTTCCACGAAAACTTTAGAAAAAATTAACCCAGTATGTACTTTCCTATTTATTTTAGTGTATGTAGAATTACTCAAGCTGGAAAAGTAATTTGAACAATTATTTCATGCCGATTGGGCTGCATTTTTACAATGTGCGGTCTAGAGATATAGAGATCTTAAAGATGGATGCAAATAAGTGGTTCATCTAAAAAAAATTGTAATTAACGGTCCAAATATTTTATTAATATAATTATTATTTCTAGTTTTTAATTGTAATTTTTTTTTTCATATTCATGATCTCCATGTTAAAAATTATATATTTTTTAAAAATTAGAATCAAATTTTATTTTAAAAATATAGTTATTACCAAGTCTGCATTTTTACATTGCGACTTTGGCCGCATGCTAACCGCGTCCTTTCGTGTAATCATCCTTCTACATTCAGAGAGAGAGAACTGGAGAGAGAGGTTCCAAGTAACTATTTTTTCTTTATTGCTAATCATACGAGATGGAGAGAGAGTAAATTTCAAGGGACAAATCTGACTTTTATTGTTCATCATATGAGAAAGAGACTAAATTTGAAGTGACAACTCTGTCTTTATCTTCATTATAATACTGAAAACAAACCCTGCTTTCTTCATTGATCACATCAACAAGATACGTATATAGCACAGTAAGATACGTATATAGCACAGTAAGAACAAACAAGCCACATCATCTCACGCTTCTTAGTAATTAATTTTCATTCTCTCTCTAGAAAACTAATAATTTTTATTTACTAATAACTAATTTTCATTCTCTCTCTAAAAAAACCAATAATTTATATTCTCTCTCTAGAGAACGATGATATGCAGATTCTCCTTTCCTGTTTTAGAGCTCCAGAACCAGATCTACAAAACCAACAAAACAGAAAAGCGTGATTCATACTTGCAAATGAAACTCTAGAGAGAAACTACACGACTACCAAATAAAACTGTAGAGAGAGAAATGACAAAAGTGCAGCTATACTCAACAGTTTGCATCAGTCTTAATCCAATATCCGGTGTTCCCATTCGAATTGATGCCGGAGAATGGTGTTTCGCGGTGAGCCTTGTAGCGGCGTGTGCGGGCGCTTTCTCTCTCTCGACCCATCAAATCTTTGCCTTCGTCCACATCTCCATCATATGCACCGCCACCCTTATAACCTTTGAGGTGGGCCTTGGTTTCATTCTTTGCGGCATCAGAGCTTTCTGGATGGATTTTCCTATGAAAGATATGCAACAGCTGTGAAACATGGCAATAGAACGGGTTAGAGAGAGAGAGAGAGAGAGGGCAATCATTTACATCCCAGATTCATCGAGATAGAATGTAATGCAATAATCTCCATAGACTGAGATGTGTAAGGAAAATATGTATTGTCTACCAGATTGATGTGGAACTTATATATTGTAATCCGTATATATGGAAAGGTAGGTATATGCTCTCTTGTATTTTTGCGGTATGTCTGATATCATGGGAGGAATCTCAGGTTTATCTTAAGAGAGTAAGTGCTAATTAATTTAATTTTTATAAACAAATCAAATACGGAAAAAAAAAGAAAAAAAAAAATCTCATATTTTGTGAAGAGTCTCAGTTTATAAGACTACTTTTTAATATATGGAAAAAGTTTATATAAGTATGCAACCTTATAATGTAGAACTACGGATGCACCTCAAAAATCTATCGAAAAGGTAGTTTTAATGTTAAAAATCCTTTTGATTGATCTTCTCGACATCGAGATGTATGACCATGAAAAATTAAAAAAATTTAAATCTAAAAAATAATGCATTTACAACATATTATCTACGCCGTCTATTTTCCAGATTTTCATATATTTATAGATATACTTGATTTTAACCATTGTTAAAATTTAAAATTTTATAATTAGATATAAAAATAGATTTTGAGATAATCCTAAGAGCATTTTAGATCAAAATTATATATCAAGATAAAATTTGAAGGTGCATCATCTTATCTCTACAGCCACGGATGCGTTCGTATGCCAACTGCACCCTTAATATATGCAGTATACATCTTCTATATGAAACAATATATACTTTCTTTTTAGAGAGAGGATCCCATCAACATTCAATAATTCAATTGAAAATGAGAATAAGAGAGAAATAACACCAAGACAATTAGAGAGAAGAAACATTATGTCTTGATGTCCCATTTTTTTTCTTTATTGAGGATTGCAATATCTTCATGTCTCCTCCACTTGGATATCTAGAGGCTTAGAGAGGAAGCTAATTCCCATTATTGATAAACCACTTCACTGTAAGTGGTTTAGAGAGAGAAAGGCATTAGCATCATCCATGAATGATGGTTTAGGTTCCAACTAACGATGGACCCGTAGGGTAGAGAGAGATTAAAGCCCCTAATGAAAAAGCTTGGGTTCTTTGGCCCGCCCTCATGTCCGCTTCAAGACAACCCACATGTGAGTGACGTGGCTCTCCATGTTGTTGAAAGTGTATCCAAATATGGCTCATGTGATCATATGACCACCTTAAATAAAGGATCAAGGAATTGGTCTTGGACTATAGTGGTGAGTAGTGGAGCTGCATTATAAGTTCTATTTCTACTATTCAACTACACAAAATATATAGGGAAAAGATGTTGTCGGCCTATAGGTTATAGGTTGATAGGATAGTGTAAGCCTAATGACTCATCAAGGAACGATTTTTTTCATATATATTTGCTTGTACTATAAGGGTTAGGTTTATGTTTTATCTTCGGGGTACTTCATCAAGGAAGGTGTCCCCTATCCATGAAAGAAATAGAACATCACGTTGGGACACCCCCACCACCCTGATCACGTAACCCTATGGTAGGGTCATTTGGTTATGTGAAGAATCACGTCTGGACCATTTTTCGAGAATTATTTGGAGTTTGGACATTCATATCGAACTCAAATTGAATATGAATTGATTTGACCGAAAGAATTTTTTCCATATATATTTGCCTTTACTGTAAGAGCGAGGTTTATGTTTTTTCTTTTTGGGTACTTAAGTGAGGAAGGTGTCCCTACCCATGATAGAAATAGAATATCACGTTGTGGCACCCCACCAGCCTGACCATGTAATCCTGTGTTGAGTCATTTGGTCAAACATTTGTTGAGAATTATTTGGAGTTTGGACATTCATATATGACATAATTCTTACCTAAGAATAATAACATAAATGAGCCAAGCTCATGAAAACTCCAAGACCCATTCTAATTAAATAATTATCTATTCACGCAATCAAAGGTTAACGATAGAATGGGTTGTGATGGGTGTATTATCAAAAAGATCATTATTTTTTATTTTAAAAATTATTTTAATAGGTATATTAACCACTAAGCAAGGGCAAATTTGAAATTTTTACAAAAGTACAAGGGCATTTTGAAAGTTTGTGTCCTGAAACTTTATTTGTCGAGTAACTGTCCTTTAGTAAAAATTTAATTTTACCCGTTATAGAGATGGAAAAAATATTTTTTGTCTTATAGTGATATTTACAAAAACACTATTACTTAATGAGTAAGATATCACAAAAAGTAACTTTTTTTTTTTATAAAATAAACCATAAAGTTAATAAATCTACTGTTCACAACTCATTCTATCATTAACCTTTGTAATTTAAAAGACTGTAAACTTTAGATTATCATATATATATACACATACACACGCTGCGAATAAATATACATATTAAATAGAATGTTCATTGTCTTTATTCTAAACAATATCCCCAATGAAGTTACCATAAAAAAAAAATAAAAAATCATATTATATAGCATAATATGTTAAAACATAGGGATTGTTTACATAGACACCATTTATCTTTTGTACATAGAGGCCATAATCATTTCCACTTATTAGATGTCAAACTAGATAGTTTAGGGCCGAGGGTTTTTTTTTAGAACTTTATGTCTATTGAATGACATGCTTGCATCCACCATTTTGAAATTTAAGAGACAAAATGATGATGATGACTCCAAAAGATAGATGGTCTCTTTGTAGACAATCCTTGAAATATATGGTCGAGATGAACAGTAGTTTGGCCTATATTTCATATAAAATTGATCACATGAACTATTAAATCGTTAGGGTAGGCTACAGCCATTTGGTAGTCTAAAATCCCTTTATTTCCCATGAAGCAACAATTTCGTTGGGGGAGGTGCAACTGGGCTCCAATGAGCCTGGCTTACTAGATGATTCCCCTTCTTGTATTGATTGAAACTACCAAGGTTAATAATGTGAGTAAATTGTGTACTCCTGCGGGAGTACAATATATACTTATTCCCTCAAGAAAAAGACATTGGGAGGATTTTCTCCGTTTTGAAGATTTGGAAACTAATTAGGGATTAACAAATGGTGTGGTTTGTATAAGGCTGAGGCTCTAAACAATCAAAATAAAGCATACCGTCAAATACACTACTGAAGTTTTTGTAATAGCCTGAAAATTCATTTGTACCTCGAATTATATAATTTAATGTTTTAAAAATGGTGTTTAGCCTACTAACATAAAAAAACTAAGAAAATAAAAAAAGTAAAATTTCGGGTTGATAAAGGCAATTTTGAAAAAAAAATAAAATAAATTGGGTTGACCGACATTTTTTATAATTTCCGCCAATAAACAGTGCAGTTTGTATTTTACCTAAAATTTTAAAGTCTCAACGTATATCATTCTAGAAAGGTTAAAGAAAGGTCACCTTGTGGAGCTTATTAGCTGCAGGATCAATTGAAGAATCAGCATTAGCATTTGAGGAAGTGTTCCTGTGGGCACTTTTACGACCAAGTATCTTCCTTACCAAATGTGCCCCAACCTTGGTATTATTATTATCGTTGCTGTTCCCTTCTTTCTTCTCTTCTCTCTCTTCTTTCTCTCTCATCACATCTTCAGCCTTGCTTCTCATGAAAAGCTCCCCCAAAGAAGTTCTTTGCTCTTTCACCCTCACTGCCCCAATGTTCACAGGGGATCCAAACAAATACCCTTGCAAGGGACAAACATTTCCATATTGCCCTTGGTTCTCCACCCCACTGTCCTTGGCATTGTTGTTTGGGTGGTGATTGATAAGAACTTGGCCCTGGGCCTGGGGCGGGGCTGGGGCCGGGGCATGGCCTTGGGCTTCTTCTTTGGCATGGTGGTTGAGAACCTTCTCCAACTCTTCATTGATGAGCTTGATATGAGTGGGCGTGAGCTCTGATTCTTTCTCAGGCAAGTCTTGAATGTCAAAATGGGCCTCTAGTTGGGACTCATCCGGTGCAACGGGATCCAAGCCCAAGGTTCCTATGGCTAAGAGCCTTTCGTTAAGGTTGGCAAAGACGTCGTCTTCTATTTCGATGGGGTCCTCATCTTCGATGCTTTCGAGACCCGCAAAGGACTTGCGATAGAGGCGGTCCTTTTGGGAGATGGGCCCAAATGAGAATTCGGGCTTCCCGTCGAAAGAAGGCCGGCCTGAAAAACAATTACAAGAGGCCCCTGAAACCAAAATTATAACCATATCGGATTGCATTCATGCCATTTCTACCCACTCTTTCTCTTTGTTTTCTTCTTCAGGTCTACCATATTGCAATGATATGCCATATTAGAAAATGGAATTGTATGCTATCAATTCATTTATTTTAATACAAAGAGGTCACAAGCAGTGTTAGAAAGATCGAATCGGGCTGATCAACCAGTCATGGGCCGGTTCTGAGTAACTCTGAACTGGGTCGTTTAATCGGTCTAAGTTGGTCAAGTAAAAAATAATTATGTCAAATGGGTCAAAAAACCCCAATTGTTTTTTTTTTTTAAAAAAAAATGAAGATTTTATGTATATTTTGTTGTTACCTCCATTTGTCTTTTAAACAATAGAAGTAGCACAACTATCAAGGGAGAAATTATCAATTGGCCGGATTTTTCTAAACTCAGAACTTAGACTCTGCGACCAAAACAACTAAAATTGAGCACGAAGCTTTGTGTAATCGACCAAATTAGCACAACAATCGTGTGACTAACTTGATTATCTTCAAAAAGTACAAATTTTGACAAAAAAGAAAAAAACCAATCTAAATCGGGGGAGACATCATTAGTTGGGTGGATTTTTTAGAACTCAGAAGTTAGACTTTGAGTCTCAGACCACAACATCCAAAATCGAGCACAAAGCTTTGTGTAATCAACCAAATTAGCACTATGATCATGTGTGATGAACTCGGTTATATTAAAAGCACACAAATTTTCAATGAAAACCAATCAAAATTGAGGGATAAATCATCAGTTGGGCGGGCTTTTAGAACTCAGACTTTGAGTTTCAGACTAAAAAGCCAAAATCGAGCGTGAATTTTTTTGTAATCGACCAAATTAACACATCGATCTTGTAATGAACATGATGATCTTCAAAACGAACAAATTTTGACATAAAACCGATTAAAATCAAGGGAGAAATCAACTGTATGATGGACTTTTTAGAACCCGCCGAAAATACCCAAAAAATGGCTCCAAAATTTTTTTGAGATGATTTTTTCAATGTTAGATCATAGATTTATAGCCTTGGCATAATAATTTCCTTTAATAATGGTCTTAAAAGCTCTAGAAATGCCTTCAACACTGAAAAAATCAACTAAAATCAAACCCGTGAGGCAAGATTCTAAGTTGAACTTGTGAGTTGCACAGAAAAAAAAAAAAAAAAA